AAGTGAGGACACCAAAACCAAGTAACTGACAGAACAGAAAGAACAGAATTTCATGGGCAAATTATTTTTAAAGCACAAACATGAAAATATGTTATTCCATTTCCTGGATGTTAATTAGTAAACCTTTGGAAAAATCTTATCCTCACTATTTTCCAAAGAAAACAGCTGGCAAATTAAAGTAAGATTCTGAATCACTGTCGGTGTTAAGGATATTTTTATGTGTCATTATTACTTTGCGCCCAGGATAACTGCAGAGAAACACAGAGCCACGTGCTTCTCGAATCTGGTGTGCACAAAGCTATTACTGGAAATACCTTGCCTTTGTATTTCTCTAGTAGAGCAACAGCAGTCCTAGTGTTCCTGAAGATGTCTCAAGCTATCAGGCTTCTGAAGTAGGGTAGCTCAGCAATGTAGGATTCCTGAAAGAGAAACTCTAGAGTAGGCATAGCCTCCCGATGTTACAGGGATGTTGCGGGGACAGAGCTAGAGCACCAGATACCCAGACCCTGACTGCAGCTCTTTTCTGGAGTCTACCAAGACACACGCACAACTCAAGTTTGACAAGGTCACATTTTGTACCTGCTACAACAGCCACAATAGCTGAAAACGATGATGATGCCCGCATGTAATTCTGGTGCTGTATTTCGGCCTTAGGCTGCACAGTGCTATGAGAAGCAGTCTTTTCTCCCTTCTGGTAACCAGGAAAAAATAAAATTCATCACTGAGATGGTTGACTATACTACCATAAGAAAAAGCTGTAAATTGCAGTCTGTCCATTCTGTTCAGAATGAAAAAGGAGGTGAAATGCTTTAGATGTTGATGCCACAGTAACCTCAATGTATCCCAGGATTTATCCAGCTATGCAAGAAAGCAAAGCAAACGGCTCTATCTGAATGCTCCAACCCTTCTTCATCCCTATCATGAAGATCTATGGCAGGTGTTCAGTCAGGAGCTCACTGGAAGACCCCTCGACTTTCAAGAGAGTTGTCATCCTCCTGGCAAAACTGGGACCAGGCTATAGGAATAAAATTGATTTCAATTATTACTAATTTTGACGGTGATGAATTTTAAGTGTTGCTTATGCTGTGTCGTGGGCATTATACTGGCAATGCTGAACTCCAGGCAGTTAAAATTGTAATGGAGTTGAAGTGACTGAATTAAAATAATAATGAGACCAAAGCAACCACCAGAATTGTCGAAAGGTTATATATCCAAATATAGCTTGTCCTGAAGATACTTCCAACCATTGCACCTGTCGAAAGTAAATCTATGAAACTATAATCGATAATCTATAAAACTGGCTAGAATCAAAGCCAGGTGTTTTTGTCAGAACAGGTAAAAAAACCCCAAACAAACAAAGTGGTTACCTCTGTGACCCCGACAGCTGTTTCATTCAGCCTTACCAGTGAACAAGGCATTCAGCCAGCTTGTAAAGTCTTTATCTGAGAAAAATTAAGACATTCTTTTTCTGTTTCCACAAATTTTCTGGGTTGGGCTGTTGCAGACAAACCTGAACTGGCTGATGTTCTCTTCAGAATAACCCATCAGTCACAGATGGCACGCGGGGCCAGACACGTTCGGTGGCCACGTAGGCTAATGCCATGCATTTGTTTCCTATGGGCATTCTACAAGATGCCTTTCTACTTTAGTCACGCAGAACAAATATTGTTTAGGAATTCTGGTTACTTGGAAGGAGAGTTCGGGGAACTGATTTTGAAGCGTGGATGTAGAGAAATAATGTAGCACTACAAAGGGAACTCACCAGCGCAGAAGAATAAAGACCTTCAGGTGACAGATTCTGCATCGGTATAGCCAACAAAGAGCTACAATTATGCTACTGCTTCTTAAAAGAACTTATGCAGGCAATGAATTCGGTGGACCGGGAAGTGTTTCATCTCTAAGTCACGCTTAAATAACAGGGCTAAGACTCTAAAAGATGACCATAAATTATATTTGTCACTTGCAGTCACCTAATTAAGAACTACGCCAGATCATCCTCACTCCCACTGTAATAGCTTATTGTATTTGGTATAATCAAAAAGTACACATTTTTAAAGGGTTGCTCAAACGCAGCTTAGGTGCACCACCTACATGATATCGCTAACCAAAAGCACCACTATAACATGCCTTCATATTTATAGGAATAAACCAAATTTCCCCGATACAGAGCTGTATGTATGTACACATTTAGTTGCTTAAAAGCATCGAGACGGTTGGGACTGTGGAATCAGTATGTTCAGGCAGAGCAAAAGATAACATAAGCTCATTCTTTACAGTTGCAAGCTCACGCTGAAATTAAAAGGCAACGAATCCTGTGCTGTAACCCTTTCCCACCCCTCCCACCCCCAGATGTACAGGTCTCTGTGAAAAACCGCTTCTTCTAAACCTTCCTCTGCTTCTCCGCACCTTGTTTGCTACATGCACATTCAATTTTCTGTTGAAACAGCTAAAATGGAAGAAAAGCTTAGCTCTCACATTAGCCTTAATAGAAGGTCACAGATGAAAGCAGTGCTGCCGCTAAGAGGAAGCAGACACAAATAAGGCTCTCTAAACCGGTTCTCAAAACCCCATCTCTTTTTTTCAAGCCAATGTATACCCTGCAGCTGTGCTCACCAGAGAGTAACTGATGCTTTTAACTTTCTGCATAATAGAAAAGCTTTTGAGGAGCATAATATTACAGCGTTTAGTTTTTCTAAATCAAATCCCTACAATCACAAACAAGAGAGGGGGGAAAAACAGATACTAAAAGGTACAAGTGGAGATTGTCTGTAAAGCTTTCCAGAAGATGGTGGGCAGATGGTAGGGATTTGCAGTGACACAGCTGTTTTTAAAAATAAAGAGGTGGAAGAGGAGAAGGCACGATTAACAGCTACACACACATTCCTAAGCCTGTTCACACAAGAATAAAAATTAAGCTAACAGCGGGAAATTGAAGTTGCTATATGTGTTTTTAATCAACTGAATTGGCCTTTAGAAACTTTAAAAAATAACCAGCAGCACCTTGAAGTTTCTTCTCTAATCATTAGTTTTCCAAGTAAATACTAACCTACAATGAGACATTAAAAAGACAATCTCAAAATTACTTTCTGTGCCTCCAAACAGCAATGCATTTTTGCTTGTAAGCAAATATAAATACAATATAAAAAGAAAATTCTATCATACCATCAAATAAACAACTATGTTACCTGTTTGAATTTCCTACAAAAGGCTTTGATTTTTCACTTTTCGGGTTTTTTCAGCTATTGTTAGTAGATGGCACAGAGGAGCAGTGCAAGGAATAGTAAGATGTATGGGGGTGACTGCAGATTGAACATCACGGGGGATGAGGCAGGGAAATGCCCAAATTCAACAGGGTATCAAGCACTGGATATGAATATAGTAGTAACAGAACATTTTTTTAACTAAGCAGTAATTTGTATAAAGATATTCAATTTCATAGAGACCTTTCACTCATTTTTAATGCGTACTCTCATGTATGTCGCCTATATATATATATACATATATATTTCTAAGCAGAAAGCTTACGTTAGGCAAACACTAAAAAGATTGTTAACCTACATGGGAAAAGCCTGTCTCCTCCGGAGAATCCAAGGAAGCTCTTTCTTGACAGCTTTGTTTATAAAATCAACTCCCTTCCCGTTAAGCTATTCCCAAATCCAAGAAATTTTACACTAACAAGAGAGATGCCACTGATACCAAAAGGATAATCTTTTCATCATTCTTCACGGAGTCACCTTCTTCACACTGTATCAGGTCACTTTCTTCTGAGTATTAAAAACGATGCGTCGGTGTAAACATACTTTTTGATACCTTTTTAAAAAAAAAACCCTGATTTTCTTGAACACGTGAGCTGGGACCCAACAGAGGAAAAAAGGTTACCCAGCACCAACCCACTGAAAACTTCTCCGTACCTATCTCCAGAGCCACCCGTGCTGGCCTTTGCTACAGCTGGGCATTGAACCGAACGCGCTTAAGTAAAACCCATGACAAAAATGCACGCATTGCACGCATTTACTCCACGCTCTCTCCTGTCAGAGGGTCTGAGCTGCTCCCAATCCACAGACAACAGTGAAGTGATTAGCATCGGGGCTCCCTAGCACACAAACATACTCAACATCTGAAGACATTTAAATTAATTTTATTTATACCAGGTTTTCAAAATCAGAAATATTTCAAAGAAATTCAATACTTATAGACAGGTGCTACATTGATGGTCTTTCATCCACCATTAGTGCCGTGTTTTCATTCTACAATCATTAACTCGCCACCACAAACTAAGGGGAACTTACAGAAGTTTCTAAAAAATAGGCAGACATGAAAATTTGGTTTATACTGGAATTGGCATAAAGAGAGTAAAGCTTATTATCAAACTGTGGCAATTGCTGCATTCCATCACTCGGTCCGAGGGAACGGTAGAGGAGAAAGACCCTTCCATTTAGAGACTGGGTTTTAACTGAACGTATTCAAAATCCATTTCATCATCTGACCGGGAGCGGTTCTTTCACTCAAATCCGCGTAAGTTTAAGCTTTGCGTTTCCAAAATCGCCACAAGCATCACCCTCACCTACTCACGCTTGTCTCGGGCCGATTTCCCTTTTCAGAGAAATCAAACCCGTGTGTCTGTACCTCTTCCAGCATTTACCAAACCAAACAAAACAACTGCTGGTTTTGAAGTCTTTTTTTTTTTTTTTTTTTAAGAAGAAAAATGCCATTTCTGAACAAGCTACTCTCATGAAAGTTTTATTTAATGTTCCTTTATCAATAAAATAACTGAAGCCAAGATACCCAAAAGTCACGTTTACACGGAGATACACAGAAGATACTCAACTCGAGAGGATTTGCCTCCACTTCTCCATCACAATGAGGCCCTCACCATTTTGCATAATGACAGAAAACAACAGCTGACAAACCATTTCGGAGCAGATGCCAGCTGTCTCTCATTTGTTTTATAATTCAAACAGTAACAGTTCTGTAGCACTTTATTGGGGTTTTGTGGTTTGTTTTTTTTTTAAAGCAAGCCATCTGAATTGGACCTCGCATCAGTCCGTCAGTCGTTTCAAGAACAAACTGAAGGCAAGCTGACCCTTTTGGATTCAAAACTTGTTTTGGTAGGAATCTTACATAAATACAGTTTGTGCTTCAATTTTATATCTACTTGGACTGAGTGAATATACACCTAAGCTAGTTTTAAAAAAAAAAAAAAGTAACCTTTAATATTCAACTTAGAAGCCACAGACATCTTTCCAGACTGTTTGCAGCAGAGACAAACAATAAATTTAAACACAATACTGCTTAAAAAAGTTTACTGTCTAAAATTAAACTCAAACAGTTTATTAAAATTTAACATTTTTCAGTTTTGGCTTTTTCTAAAGAAACCTTGTGAAAATCAGTTAAAAGATCATTTCATTATACTGTACTGAACTCAAGTCAAACATAAAGCACAAAGTAGATCTTTACATTAAACTGGGCTTTGCACACAACGTGAATAATCAGAAATAAAGAGACTATTTTGAGGAATAAAAAGATATTTTTTTTTTCATCTAGACAACATGCATACCGTCAGTTACTTCTCAACCTTAAAAGGTACCTGAAAGGAGAGTTTCGTAGAACAAAGCCAAGACTCATTAATACACTTAGTAAGTCAGTGGTCATCATGCCTTTTTAGTTAAATTCTAGTAAAGTTTAGTCTACATAGAACAGCTAACACAATGAGGTGTGCAAGTCATAGGGACAGCCAGAAGCCTGAAACAAAGTCTTAAAGTTCTACAGGACAAGAGAGCCTACACACAGTACCACTAGGTTATTTTAACTATTAAAAAAAAAAAGAGAGGGGGGGAAAAAAAAAAAAGGCAGGCTTTTTAGGATTATCCGCTTCCTTGTTGAAAAAGGGCTATGAACTGAACATAAAGGGCCCGTATTTAAAAGCTCCATGGTTCTACTCTACCAACTTTTTAAAATAAGGTAACGATAAAGAGCATTCCTTCCAGCAGCATGTACAGCTCAGCTGCGAGCGGCTGCCTAACAGCGCGCCTTTACACATACCAGGAGAATCATGTCCAGTTTTGCCATTTGTGGATAATGATGACAAGATACAAAAGCATGTGTTTGCCATAAATAGCTCTGGCTAACGGAGGATTGCTCACACAGAGCAGATCAAATTCTCTATAAGGAGAGCATTATTTGGCTCCCAGCCAAAACATGTCCCCGATGCAAGCCTCGGTAGTGGCAAACACTTTCCAGTTCTATTTACATAGAAGCTAACAAGTAGAAGGGTTCATTTAGGCTATTTCTTGTACCAAGCCCGTCTTAACTGCAACACTCAAGAAACAAAAATTAATTTACCAGATTCGTATTTGCATATCATGCAACTGTCGTTACACGTCATCTTACTGAAAAAGACGGCGAGCTGTTAAGGTTTCGTGCAAGGTTTTACTCTGACATGTAGAACTTTAAGAACATTCAGGTACGAAACACGCTGCGTGGTTAATTGTTTCATATTTTTTACATTTCTGACACAAGTGTTTCATGGAACTAATGGTCTCTAGTAGTGGTAGCTTCCTTACTTTAACGGTAAACGAGGATCAGGTCCTTTATCGAATGATCAGAACAGAGCCACAAAGTATTGTAAAGCGGTGCCTAAATCATGATTAGGAATGAAAAACTTGCATTATTTAAGATGAGATTAATGATTGTTTGTCTTTACAATACTTTCCACAGAAGTTATTTGAAATACGCTTAAATTAAACATACTTAAAAACTATATTTTCCAATGAAAACAAGGCAACATTCTGTAATAAGCCACAAGTTTTATTGCAATGTGGCCAGTTTTTGATCTGAAAAAAACAATGTTCCATTTAAGGCTCTTTTTAATACAGAAATTGCCACCATGACTGATGTTTTACAAAACTTTAGTGTTTCAAGACTCACATGGTAAACAGATAACTTCTACTCCTGTTCAGTAGTGTACATTCAATGGAAAACAAAAGGCATCGTAACAGCTACTTCATTTATCAAGATATGCATGTAACAGGAATGAAACTGAGGTACTACAATAATTTGATGACACAGTTACAGCAACTTAATTGGCATTCCTTTTGGGGGGGCAGGGGCGGGTCAAACATATTACAAAAAAGTGCTTTAAATGCATAGTGTTGTGTGCTGCCATGTCACAAAAATAGGCTTGTCAAGGCAGGTGAGGTGTATGAATGCACAAGAGCCTCATGGAACTGCAATCAAGTGCAACTGTAAGTAATACTGTATAGAGTCTACCATCCGACCAGTGGACAATACTTTCAAGGCATTCAATTAGCTTACCCTTTGCTGTCTGCTAGACTATTCACATTAACTATCACATTCATTGTACATGTTGCAAGGAATGCCTGCAACGTCAGTTTTGGCTAAGGGCGTGACGTGAAAGCATTCCTTGGATCCTACATAAAACTACCAGGATTAAACAGTCTAATGGCAATCACTGGTAGACTGCTTAACAATGACATCTCCTTCAGGGGCATTAGGGAGGGGACTTATTTTCTGAGGAGGGAAGGGGACGGGGAGACTAATACTATTCCAATTGAACGAGCTGCAGAAATGGAAGCTCCTTAGATCCAGATGGCACTTGTCTGTCTTTTTATAAGGGTTTTCCTTCAAGTGAAACTACCACGTTGCCTCCCAATTTCTCTCCAAGTGTTGAACGGTCCTTAATATCATCCAAACCATTTACTTGCCACTCATGTTTAATACCTGAAAAGACAGACGGACAACAACGTACTTGTGAGTACCTCAACATCTAAACGCCATTATAATTAACGAGCGAAACACTTTTAGCTCCGTACCTGTAAATTTCTTTTTAATGGCATCTTTAGAGCTTGCGTAGATCATCTTGCTTTTTAAAGGTGCGCTTTCAGGAGCCCTTTAAAGGAAAGAAAAAAAAAACCGCAACAGAACAGTTATTCAGCCATCCGGTGTTGACTCCAGAATATTCAATTTTAACAGCAAGCTTTGCTTTTACACACCAGAATATAAATACCAGGTCTTCTTTCTTAGATTCCTTTGTCTCGTATGTGGCATCATACAAAGCGTATCGGCAATCATTCAAAGGTAGCAACTTCACAAAGGCTGTATAGGGGTCCTCTACGGTATCTCCAATGTCACCAACCAGTATCTGCTTTGACTCCTCTACAATAATTTGTTTTTTGTCATCACTTAAGCAGAAGAGAACAGCTTTCTTTCTTTTTTTAATCTCCTCTGGGGTTGAAGATTTCCTTACTTTCATGTCATTAAAAACCTTTATGACTTCATCATTCACTGTTACTCCAGAAGCCTGCAAAATGAGATCAAAGGAATAACTTAAACAGCAAAAATTAACACTCACGAGAAAAAATGATAGCCCACAGTGCTAGATAAAGAAGTCTGCCTGCCCCCGTAAGAATAAAAATACTGTACTCGACCTGAACACACTATGAATTTCGTAACTGCAGGACTGGAGCAGAAGACATAAAGGAGGTGTAAAATTCTGTACTCTCTTGTCGCAGACCTCAGCATCTTCAGCTGTGATTCTGGATAGCAGTTTGATACAACTAGGCACACAACTGTACTACTCACACAGTTTTCCATTACCTTATCGTGCATTTGGCTTGTTTGGGGGAGGAGGAGAGCGGGGGTGGGGAACTGAACACAGGAGAGGAGTTTGTAGTTTTGGGTTGGGATGGGGGGCTGGGTTTTTGTTCTTTTTTTTTTTTTTTTAAGCAGAACAAACGCCACGGCAGCGGCTCACATCCAGCACTGTCATGACTCTCATTTTGTTGGGTGATGTAAGGCTCTACAAGCAGCAGAAATGTTTTCTGCATTGTGTCAGCTTCAACACCGCGCTTTAAAAACTCCTGGATTTTACTTCGTACTGCCGCACGGGCATTATTCGACTGCTCGTCCTTCTTACAAAAATACCAGTTGCAGCGCGCACCGCTCCCCGTAAGGCTCGCAAGCCGGTCAAAAC